GAATTCCAGAAAGGAGCACTTGTCAATACAAATTCCACAAAGACCATCTAACAAGAGAGTGGAAAAGGCAAAATTCAAACGTTGAGAAGAGCGTCTATAAGTGGCATGGAAAAGGGATGCATGTTTCAAAGCTATATTTTCTGAATGTCTTGTTTTATATGCATTTACTGATGTACTGGAATTGATATTCCAAACCAATACAACATTGTCCCAGAATATATAATTTCACTTTGAAAATAAAACAAACCAGACCTATCCATCCAATTTGTAAACATCTTACACTTACTTGGGTCTCAGGTAAGGTGGAGCCTATCCAAGTTTCCACCCAATCACAATAACTTGTGTCCAAATTTGTATCCTGTGTTCTCCAAAGGCCAAATTTGATGGCTATAAGACGTCACTTCCGCCGCAGTGTTCAAATTCATGTAGCTTTAGAATCTCGCCTTCAAATGGGTGCAATCAGATGCTCACCTGCGGCTGCCATGTTGGTGACCCCTGACCTATAGGGTATCGGCCCGGGCACACTTAGAAGCCTATCTGATCAGCCCCTGATGAAATAAGGAGGCCCTGGTTTTTGCCTGTCGTATGACATCAGAAGACACGTTCACATCGCCTCATCTCAATTGAGTGGAAACTCAACAGATTCCCAAGACAAGTCTTAGCATAGGCAACTTTTCTCCCCTTTTACCTTGTTAGAGCGTGCAACCTCAAGTCAGCGGAAGTGACTTGGATATGTCAGGATCAATTGAGGCTAATATTAGGAACACGGACAAAGTGTTTTTTAAGCACTTTTCAATGACGTTGCGGCAGTGCGAAGGCTTTAGAGGTAACTGAGTTATTCAAGCAGGCAGCTCAGTTACTGATTGCACTCGGGAGAGCAGAGAGCACGCTCCGGTTCTGACCACACCACCTGATCCAGTGTGCTGTGTATGCACCACAGGAGGGATGTGTGTCTTAATGCTTAGGAGAGACAGAAATGCTCGTGTGTGTGTGTGTGTGTGTGTGTGTGTGTGTGTGTGTGTGTGTGTGTGTGTGTGTGTGTGTGTGTGTGTATTGTGCAACTACGAGGGCAACTGAATTTCAGTACTTTCTAAAAATGTTTCCCCTGCGTTTTTTTTTTTTTCACAAGACCCAGCTTTCAATTGGTTTCAAAGGCCTACTACAGCATTAGAAATGGTTGTTTTGGTCTTACTAATATGAAGATATTAGGCTCACTTGCCACATGAAAGGCCCCAGGACAAGGCTGCTCGTGATCTCACGTTGAAACATGAATGCATTGATTAGTTTTGCGTTCACGTTGGTCCACTTACGCTTCACACGCACGGAAAGTTCTCATGGGAATGGGTTTTTATGGATAAAACGTATTCCGGAGTAGGAAACCTGTGTCCAAAAGTTGCTTGTTTTTTTTTTTTTTTGGGTGAGTGTGTGTTACGTATAACGCAGCGCAGCTTTTTAAGATGGCCAAATATAAATGGCACAGCACCTTAAAGAGGCTTATATAAAGCACCTTCATCTCTGCATACTTAACCACATCCAAAGTTGTTTTGCATATACAGTAGTGCTCACTACTTTTTTAATGAGCCAGATTAGTCTTTGCTGTCATGAGTTGACTAGACGGTGCACAGGCTGAGCAGCTTGGGCTGAAAGCACAGAGAATATTAAATCAACGTGCACATGCCAGTTTGCTGCTCGCCTGCCGTATTGCTCTCTATTTTTTATTCATGCACAATTAATGGGCTTCTGTTTGGCAAGAAGAACAAATATTTCTGGACAACACACTAACTGACTTATGTATTTGTCCTTGAACACACACAAATTCTTTTAAACTAGGCTGAGGAAGAAAGATCTATATAATGATTTGACATAGTATGTATTAATCGTGTATCCAAATGTATACGGTATAATTTTTTTCCACGCAGTATGTTTTCATGATATGCCCAAAGCACAAATTACAGTGGAACCTCCATCCATCCATTCATCCATCCATTTTCTGATCCGCGACAAGGGTCGCCGGAGCCTATCCCAGCTGTCTTCGGGCAGTATGCGGGGGACACCCTGAACCGGTTGCCAGCCAATCGCAGAGCACACAGAAACGAAAAACCATCCGCGCTCACACTCAAACCTATGGACAATTTGGAGTGTTCAATCAGCTTGCCATGCATGTTCTTTGGAATGCAGGAGGAAACCGGAGTACCCGGAGAAAACCCACTCAGGCCCGGGGAGAACATGCAAACTCCATATAGGGATACACGGTATCATTTTTTTCACGCAGGATGTCTTCATGATATGCCCAAAGCATAAATTACAGTGGAACCTCTGAGGTTAAACTCTATCTGTGAGCAGTGGTGTGCAAAGATAGTTGCCGACAGGGCAGAAGCCAGGCACATCCCCCGAAGGCGGGGGGGGCCTCTACAGCACCCGACTCGACAATGAAACAATTTCACTGACATGTCTTTTGTCAGGCTATACATCAAACACAATCATCCAAACGCAACCACCCCCAGCATCATGAATGAAGGGGCATCAAAGTATTGTAAGGGGCATCAGTCTCGGACAGAAGGCCCATGAGATGGCGGGGGGAATATCGACAATGTCCAAAAAAAAATCCTTGCGCCTAATAAAAATAAGAAGATTGGAAACAGCAGGCGGAGAGCAGATTTGCTGGTCTCGTAACCTGAGGTGGCCCGGTGCAAACTAACCAGTTGAGGAGCCATTAATTGGCTAACAACAAGATGGGAGCATGGTGACCGGATCTCATCTCGCTAAAGCTGTCTGATCTCTCCAATCCCATTTGGGCCAGCTCACATTATGGACCTCACAGCATGCGTGCGAGCTGCTGCCACTTCGGGTCAGAGACGCTTCTTTCACTTTGATATACAGGACACTCGAAGAGAGCGTTTCCTCTCCACTTCTCATTGGCCAGCATGCGTAATAAAACGGAAACAGCGATCATTCTGTTCTCTCTATTCATATCTCGATGAATAATGTCATCTCCCTTTAGGCGACTCATTGTTTATTATCTATCCTGTACCGCACAGTATAAGGAACGACAAACCAGCACACCCAAACGTGATACGTCAAGGCTCAAAATAGGCCGTTTCCGATCGCAAATTTGCGAATCAAATTGACACATTGATTAGAAACATTGACAACGACAGAATTTTCCCACTAACGGAATCATCGAGACGGTCCCGGAGAGCTTCAGCGGGCTGGAGGCACTCGCATCACGTCACGCCAGTAGTCGGAGGTCGGGGAAAGCTCGTGGCTATTTACGCCACGGCCCGCTAGCTAGCAAAGCACTTCGGCTGTACTAAAATAAATAAATACTTCCTCCATTTGTTTTTAATTGCACCTCAGAGTAGCCAATATGCTTCATCTCATATCAAAGAACAGACTGTTCACAGAATGACTTTTTCCAAAAACATCAAAGGAGAGATCATGGACCAAAAAAAAAAAAACAGTCTCACAGTCATGCGGTAAGACCGTGTCTAAGTTATACAGAGCATACAAGTATAAACTGCTGCAGCTCAAAAAGCGGAAAGGCACATTTGATGTGCGCCATGTAATGCAATATGATATGTTGTTCTTTAGTTACATCACCTTATTTGTGCTTCTGCCTACACCTACACACGGTGATGCAATTCATTTTCTCCGGATCATATTATGACATATTATCTTGTCAAAGTTCTATTTTGCCTTTGGAGTATAATCTGCAATAACACTAATTTGTTGCGTAATTAATTCATGTCTGATAAATAAATGATCATTATTAAAACAATACAATCACAGATATGTACCAAAGTACTGAATCATAACTCATTTGGATTTGATGAATTATCTGTTGGCAAAGTATGACCAATGAGTAATATTGCTTGAATTATTCAGTAAGAGGAACTCATAGGGGAAATCTAAAAATACTCGAGAGATGTGCTCTTCCAAGGGCTACAACTTTAAAGACGTGCTCGCCGGCTATGACTTCAAGTGCATTGACCACACTCATCAATTAAGTGCAAGTTTCGACCGGGAATATATGTTCACTGTTTTGGCAGCCACCCCATGTGAATCGCCTATTGGGTGTCGAATCACCTGTCCAACATCATAAAGGCAGTAAAATTGCTTTTAGATCATTTCCTCATATATGATAGCAGGGAACCATTTTATTTCTTTTTGCAAATGGGAAAATGAGTGCGAATTTTGTACGATGGCGACTTAAAGGGTGAGCCTGGAGGCTGCTTCCTCCAATTAGGTGGCAGAAGCACTGAACAAGATGGATGAAAATATCAGACATTTGCGATGTCATGTTGGCTGTGATGGACATCATTAAGAATTAATGAGCGTAATATGCTGGGGGTGGGGTGGCGGGGATAGCGGGAATTCAAGAACAGCTCAGATGTTTTCCCTCAAACGATGCAGCGTGTAAACTGGAAGATGTCCATCTCTAAATTGCAGCAGATATTCTGTATATGTTCGAAAATTGTTATTATGATGGCTTTGTTATGACAAAACAGGCAGCGTACAACACCTGCGGTCATGGAATATAAGGTGCCGCACTTGAAGTGTAGGAGCCATTTGGTGATTAGGGCGGCCATTACGTAGTTGACTTCATTATGCTAAGCTAGTTAGCCGCAAAGCCAGTCCTCGTCTGTTCAAGCCCACTTGAAATTCGGTGAGGAGAAATATTTGAAGTACCCAATCATGATTCCAATCTCGGCACGTAATCAGCTACAAATAACCTCTTTGTAGTCTCACGGTCGCTATCAAACACTTTGTGTTGCCTTTGTTTGCTGGTTTCTGATTCCCTGTGCCATGAGGTGTGTCAGGTTTAGAGGCCGGCGCACACTCAGTCTTTGAGGAAACATAAGTCATTTCATTATGATGAAATGAGGAGGACTGGGGGGTGGGGGCGGGGGGGATTTATGCTGTGGCTTTTCCTGTCCGGATTGTTTCTCACGCCACAGCCATGGGATTTGGACAACAATGAAAATACAGAAACAAAGAAGGGGGATTTAGTTATTTCTTTATTTTTTTTTTGCTTCAAGTATGACATCCTGAGAAGACGGTTAACAAATGTACGGTTGAGCAAAATCTCTTCCACGTTGCTGGTCGACTTCCAAGTCAAAACATTTCATTCCAAAGGAAAAGAAGTTTGAAAAGATCATTCTTTTTTTTTTTTTTCACTTCAGGAGCAAACCACCGCCACCCTAACGGAGAGGAACAGATGTTCTGAAGCTCACTGATCTTTGAGATGTTTTCAGACGGGTGCGTCGCTTCATTTGCAGTTTGCCACCAGACCTGTCACATAAACTGCGTGAAAACTGAATTGAATTTCACTCAATATCAATTCCAAGATTAGAATGAAACACAGTGGAGCCAACTAACCAACCAGACGCGTATATAGCATATTCGCCCTGTATCTTCGCAGTTCGGCATTCACAAATTCCATATTTACGGAACCTATGCTTCATTGTCACTGAAAAACTCACAATGTTTTTGTGTTCAGGCCAAAGTAATAAACGTACAGCTTTGTCACTCTCTTGTGGTCAATGAACTATGTTGAAATGAGTTGAGAAGCTTCATTTAGTAAAAGTGGTGCTTTGGTGCCACCTTGTGGCAGATCAAGGTAATTATGAGCATTTTTAGTGTTTGGGCCCGGTGATCCAGTGGTTAGCGTGTCGACCTCACAGTGCAGACGTACCGGGTTCGATTCCAGCTCCGGCCTTGCTGTGTGGACTTTGCATGTTCTCCCGGGGCCTGCATGGGTTTTCTCCGGGTACTCTGGTTTGCTCGCACCAGGGTGTCCCTCGCCTACTGCCCGAAGACAGCTGGGATAGGCTCCATCACCCCCCCCCGCAACCCTTGTGAGGATAAAAGCGGATCAGAAAATGGATGGATGGGTGCGTAACTTATTCGGTATGAGCTCTGCTTGGCATGTCTGTTTTACAGTTCTCACATTCTGGGTTAGAATTTTCCCTCAAACCCTCCTGTGTAAATTCAGTTTATATGCTGACGGATATGTGCTGCTTGGGGAAAAAATAAATAAATAAAAAATGACATGTCTCTCTGTGTGGCCTGGTAGGAGATGGCCCCATGGACTGGTACCGGGCCGCAGACCAGTGTTTGAGGACCCTCTGCTGTATACAACAGCACCTGTAATAGTTGCTGCCTTTAAATTGGTTCTCGAGTTAACCTCCCTCTACTTTCCAATAACTCCAATTGCATCTGATTTATTTCAATCTGTTTTTTTCTTCTTCTTTTTGATGCAGACTGAAAATGAATGATTTTGGACTGCCGTTTAAACAGAAAACATTCTGGAAGGAGATTGTTAAGAGGCTTGCTCAGAGCTCAGTACCTGTGGGAGACTGCTTGTCAGAACCTACTTTTAATGACTGCCTTACTATTCACTTTAAGCCCACAGATGTATGCCAAGCTGTTGGTCATGCCAGCTTTTGCGACAGGACAAGTTTTAGTCATGACTTGCCAGGTATGCATAAGTAGAAAGTGGAGCTGCAAGTTTGGGATTTGGCTGCTTTTGTATTAAGCGAGTGGAAATCGTCATCTCACACACGTTCTGCTAAACAGCGACGGCTATGTTTGCGCTTTACCTGTCAGAACCTACTGTATGATAACAATCCCTCGAGACATATAGTAAATCCTCAAATTAAGGGTTCCAAATTGGAGCGTTGCCTTCACCAATATGAAATAAACCACAAGCAAGCAGCAAATGAAGGTCTGGAAAGGCTTCCTCAGAATTCGGTGCTGTCAATGGAAGCCGCACTTCAGGCAGTCAGTGACTGCCAATGATTTTCCTCCACATATTTAAAATTATCTTTATACGCTCGTGCGCCCATATAAATGGGAGCGCTGTGTGAGGAAGGGTAACTGGCGTAAGAAATGAGCCAACAAAACATTCAAGTTGGGAAAAACATGGCTCAAAAGTGATTTGGGAAGTGTAAACACAGCAGCCCATGGAGATGTGGACGAGAACCTGTAAATGTCGACACGTCAATCAAATGATCAACTTTGGTGGCAAACTCTTACATTTTTTTTTAACAAGCCCTGGCAACAAAAAAAAAGAAAAATCAACATTCAGTGCATTCGCAAACACTCAATGCTTCGCCACTCAGTTGGATATGGCTACTTCCTGGTTAATGGCGGATGGGGAAGAGATGGGAGGTGCTGATATGATTTAAGGGGTTGGAGCGTTCTGAGGGTATGATATTCTACACCCCTCCTTAAAAACCTGTCAGCGCGCCTTTTATTTTTTTTAATGCAGTATTCATTTAACATTGATTAGTTTCCATTATTTATTTCTTTATTTTTCACCTCATTCCTGTTGATATGCAGCCCACAATCTTTCCACCTTGGCGCAGGTCTGCGCCGCACTCAGTGCTTTTTGTAATCGTGGCTTGTTTTCAGTATTCTCCAATACATGAGCTCTGAATAAAAGCGCTTTTTATCCGTTGGCCCCTTTTTGTCTCGCACACAATGTAGAGCGAATGCATATATTCTGCGGTAACCTTGAGTTCTTGACATTTTCCGTGAATTGCATGACACCCACCTACGGACAAGTGTTCGGCAGAATATGTACTTTCCCTCTTCACTTGGACCGTTCTCCACATGGGAAGCCATTAGAGAGAGAAAAGCTGACAAGTAGGAGTAACAGAGGATGGCGGGCCTCAGTCCAGTGCCTCTGATTCCATCCCTGACAGAGCAGCGAGTGGCCCTCACTCACAGCTGTCCTGAAATCAGTCAGCCAAGCACAACTCAGACCTGAGAAAGTGGAATACGACATTCTTGGGGGGGGGGGCTAAGAAGCACACGGAGCGGCGCAATCTTCTTCTTGGAGTGGATGGAGTGTCAGGGACTTATATAAATGCTAAACATTGCTACCCGTCACTGGGGCGGATGGCGGCGCAGCTTTGCAATGACTTCCTGGTTGGATCGATCGCGCGGCACGTGAATCATGTGACTGTGATGTCAAGATGGGATCCGATCGATTTGATGCATGCAGCAAAATATTTCGGATGTGAAGCTGGATGTGTGTTCACAGAGTACAACTAATGCACAGCGTCATCAAATATGACATCCAGCCCGGTGCCAATACGCAGGGAAGAAAGGTAGCGAAAGGATTATTAAAAGGGGGGTGGGGGGTTGGATTTGTTTTCAAGTTAAGCTCCCTCTGCTGTCAACATGTTTACAACCTCCATGCCGCTCTCACGATGAGAGCGTGCGAGAGTACAATGTCCATGGCATGTATTAAAACTGTCATCGGTTCTGCAAAAGATTAGCTTTGCATTCCGCGACCATGATGATTGTGAATGCAACCGGATGGTGCAATTATTGATGCAAGTTACCGCCAAGTTACTTTCCCGGTGTCGAATGTGATTGCCAGGTATGAGGCAAAAAAAAAAACAAAAAAAAACAAAGAAAAGGCAGCGTTTTGTCTTCTGTTGTCATCCTGTGACAGCAGGAAACTAAAGAGGACCAGCAACGGGCATGTGCGCGAGCCGCGGAAAGCCTCCGCTAACTGCGTCATAAAATCGAAATTATTGCAAAATTGCTTCTCGATTCATTTCTCCAAAGTGGATGCAATTACACCGAGTGTGACAAGCTGCACATGGTGTAATCCCAAATGTTATTAAGCAATGCAGACTGGTAATCAAGACAAAGGGAGCGCACAAGCGCACATTACGTTTTCATGTTTCCATTACGCGCGCACACACGCATGCATGCATACGCACACACGCACAAGTCGAATAGGCAGGAATGAAATGATCATAACATTGCAATACAAAAGTGGAATTTCCCCATCCTCAAAGTGGGATGTCTGCTTACATCGCGATCTAATGACCTTGTACATGCAGGTCATACGTAGCCTTTCCACACCGAGAAGAATGTTGACAACATGAAGGTGGGATGTGTTTTTGTGCCGCACAAAGACAGAAAAACCAAAAGCACACAGACGCACGCGTACGCGCAGCGCGCGAACGCTCCACAAAGAGTTCAAATACTTCCGCAGTGACCTTGTACGTGTAGGTAACAGATCCTCATTTGACACCGCTAATTGGCGGACATGTCAGAGGATGGTTAGCAGCTCAAGGAAATGGCAGGCGCTCATTGATTTCCCCCCCACCTCCCCTCCCTTCCCATCGGACACTATACAGCTTAATCCGCTCGACGGCGCAATTGTTGATGGTGGGGGGGGTGGATGTTGAGAGGACATATGAGGCTAAGACTGTAGAGAGTACAAGCGTTTTAAAAGACACTTGGGACTTGGAAGGTAAATGAGGGAATGGGGGTTCGCGAGTGTTGACGCAAATTGAGAGTTTACAGCTGTTTTTATCAATGCAGTTGCAGGTGTTGGGTAGTTGAGTGGATGAATAAATAATATAACAAATGCATTAAAAATTATAGTTGGGGTTAATCCAAATCCTTCAGTGTTCTTTTTTAAATTATTTAAAAAAAAAATCTATATATATATATATATATGACTGCAAGTTTGTAAACAAGAGCCTTTTTCAAGCTTTGTAGGAAACGGGCTGTTGCGTCTGTCGCGAATATCACATTATCCTCTTAAAAAAAAAAATTGATCGGGGCTATGCAGACAGAGCAGCTGTGTCTTATTTCTATGAAGAACTGCTGGCACTTTCTGAGAAAAGATGCACATCAGCATTCGTTTTTCAGAACACACGCATCACCGCTCTGTACAATGCTCATATCTCATTGGCTATAAAAAATGAATAAATAAATAAATAAATTAGACATTGACCAAGAACGTTTTGCTTATGACCAACAGTTTTTTTTTTTTAAGTTTTTTTTTTTTTAAAGGTCATTTCAGTAAAGAGAGGGCATCACGTACAAGGTAGGATTTCAATTCAATACTCGCCACTCAGACAAATTTTCTCCTTGGGATGCAACAGTTGCCATGGAAACAAACTTTTATCCAGCTCTTGTGAAAAAAAAAAAAACCACACAAAAAAAAAGCAAAGAAAAGAAGGGTCTTACTGGCCACACTTGTCAGTCTTCACACTCCAGCCTCCCAACCACACCATAGCACAACACAGCAGAGCCTGCAATTGAAGGAAAAAAAAAAAACGCTCCAGTTACTCTGTCACGTTTCAGAGGTTTGTTGCAGCATTGCTGCCTCAAGCGCTCTTACTTTGAACGGATTCGATGCTCTGTTGACGTCCGTTGCTTGTTGCTCCATCCACATATTGCGCATTTAGTGAAACCACCTCAAGGGGTTGACGCGGGCATCTCACTGAGATTCAAGAAAGAACGGGAAGCAAGCGTAGACATAAATAATGTTTTTACTTTAGTTCCAGTGGATGATTTTGGAATGACGACACAATCAAACTCGGAGGCATTGGGAGCTCCGATCCATCCTTCTATCTTACCATCATGATGGATGGGAAAGAGAGATGGCAGCCAAGGGAGCCCGCAGACGCCAAATCACTAGCCGGACGTGTTCAGGTGCAGCTTTCAACGTCACGAGAACGCGCAGCAGCAGCAGCGGCACTGCCTAGGAACGGCGTGTCGGTGTGTGTTTGCGCCAGTGTATCGTTGAGCTACTTAGACAGATTCCTCAGATGCCTGTCGATGTGAGCTGCGTCCAGTCACAGTGCATCCATCAACGACCTGCACGCAGATATCTTCAAGTGCGCGAGGGGCCCGAAACGGCTGAGCTTGCATCTCCCAACTTGAAAAAAAAAAAGAAAGAAAATGTGATCAAAAACAAGCCGACACATACCGCTGTTTCGATTCATTTTTATTATAAAAGTGGGAATTAGTCCGGCGCGAGAGCGAATCATTTCCCCTCTGCGTGTGTCCTTTGAGATAACGCGTCATGCTGCTATCGCGCATTTATTGTCTTTTAAAGAGGCGGAAATGGAGTGGGGAGAAATAAACTCTCATTTAAAAGCCATTCGCTCGCATATGGCTAATTTCAAGGTTGAACATACGGAAAATAATCTCTCACGCGTTTTTGTCACAGCACAACAAAGCTTGAATTCACGTTCGTTTTTCCGATTTTTTTTGGAGCGCATCTATCCCCGCCATCTCGAAAATGACTGACTCTCACTCCTTTTGATCTTTGCTCTAAAATATATTTCCTTGTCCAGTAAAAAAAAAGAAAGAGGTGCTCATGTGATTGAAAATGCATGCACGCAACGCTTCGCTGGCTACTAGCGTGTTGCTTTGATCTCGCTCAAAAATGACTTGAGGAAGCTCTGATAAAATGCAGGGCGAGCCCGGCCGTCCGCGTGTGGCGGGTTCAGGGAAGCTGATGACGCTCTCGAGGCAACACCCGCAAAAAGCCGCAACACATTATCGGGGATGGAGACTGGAATGATGCTGTCAATCACAATTTTAATGGCCCGCTCGCCCTTTGGACCCACCGGGAGCAAGAGCAGAACAAGCCATACGGAGAAAAAAGACTGGAAGAGTCGAATGCAAACATCTTGTTTCGTGGAGACGATATAGAGATGAGCTTGAGTTTTTTGACAGCTGTGGCCTTTCCATACTGGGCCTGAAGACCGAACAGTCCTTGACACGAACACACGCACACACACGCAGACGCACACACTCACACACACGCACTGCGTCCGTCCACCTCGGCAGTGCTACAACTTGTATGTATTATTCATTCATTTAGCAACGAGCAGGATGTGGGGCCTCGTCAAGAGCTGAAGCCGCCGCAGAGTGGAGCCAATAGCTGAGGGGAGAGGGAATCGACACGGACGCTTTTATTTTATTGCATTTATTTATTTCAATGGGATGTGCACTAAAATAAGGACGTGACTCGATATCCATCAGCTCAGGCGTGGGCAACTGTCCGACGCGACCCGCGGCCATATTCTTGAGTTGCCTCTTGATGAATTTTCCCTCCAAATCTCACCCTCCAAATTTGTTTAATTTATTTATCAGTGAAGCTAAAATGTTACTTAAAACATTGCCTCACGGATTGGATGCATGACTTTACTTTTTCATAACAGGGAATCGAAACAACACCTTCTGGCTACACTTCACCGAAGCCTCCTCAGCTCCCATGCAGGAGAACAACGAATAAAGTCGCCTCTCGTTTCACAGTCCCTCCACCAGCTTCGACTTCAGGTGAAGTGATTCAACTCTCAGCCAGAACAGATTGGCTCCGCTATCTCCCCTGGCCAATCTCAAACAGCAATCGGACTGGCATTTTTGATCGCTCACACAAGAGACATTTGTAGATGAAAGCGCCGAGACGTTGGCCGGGAAGGAGCCGTTGCTCCCGAGATGGGAAGAAAAATCTCTGGAGCAAGCGAGGGTGGATGACACAAGGACGGAAGTGAAGTTTGGAAGCGGGCCATACGGAAGAGGAGTCAGGGGAAATAGATCGTGAGCTGATCTAATGAAAAATTGAGGCCAGAGGGTAAAGGAAATTGAAGATGGACTTTGCTCCCTAAATTAACTGAAGACCGCATCTCGCCTGATGGCATCAGTACTGTTTTATTCCTGTTTGGTGCCCGTACGCCGTTAAAGTAGCTTTGTATTGGGTTGAGAACTTGCGGAATGTTGGTTTGATGGGCTCATGAAAATATGGACAAGATTGACAGAAAAAAAAAAAATTAAAAATGCATTTTGTAGCCATGTAGCAAAGCACCAAACTCGAAAACGTCAACACAGAAGATGGTGTCTGTTTTGCATTTTGTGTCTCGTCCGCAAAGCTCATCTTATTTGACAGCCCGTCATTGTGGGGGCTCAATATCTTGAACACATGATCTACTGATGTCCCGCATCTATATAAATACATCAATGCTGAACATGACGCATTGATAAATATCCTTGTTTGAAACGCAGCTGTGATTTAGCAACTTCACTTAGCATGCATTCGTTCACTCCGCTGTGACTTGCATTTTTTGTTGTTGTTGAAGTCCAGCCTTCCCGCACGTCTTACCATGAACGTCTGCCTTTTCAGTCGCTGATCGTGAGATCATTGGATGACCTTGCATGTCACTCATTATAGCAGCACATCTGATTGGCCGGGATGTTAATCAATACAGGTTAGCCGTCACGTTCCCATATGCAGCGACGCGGTTTGAACAGAAAGCATTGTTCTTCAAGAGGCAGGTGCGGGGAGCTCTTAGGAGTAAATGTTGAATAATCTGAAGAATGCAAATTACAACAAAGATATAAAAAAAGACTCTAATATTGTTTAAAATCTGATTTGTATTCACCCCAAAAAAGTCATTTCGTCTGCTTGTTTCATCCGGATGAAAAGTGGACCTAATTGTTATTATTTGGAGCGGTTTGTATTCAGACTGTCGTTTTTTTCACAAGTGAACTAAATATCGCAAACACATCAAAGTGTTTGACGATCGGTGCTGCCATTGGACAGAAGTGACGAAGGCGAGACCGAAATCTCAACGGTGACTTCTTATATAATCCGAGCTCTGCAATTTCCCAGTGTTCTGGAACGGAGCATCGTTCTTCCTGTTGACTTCATGTTGCCACGTCAGAGCATGATGGTGGGGTGCACTCACGTCATCCAATTTGCTACTAAATTATCATATTGAAACATTATGTCCTAAAGCGGGGGGGGGGGGCACCCAATCCCTCCCCCTGCAAAAATTCACCTTCAACAGCAGTTGAAGGATTGTCACGATATAACCGCGTAAAACACATGAGGTGACATCGGGTTCATTTACTTCATCTAAAATAGATAGTCCTCATTATAACATGCAGCCGGCGAAGACGAAGAGGGACGGAAATGGGAAGGGAAGCATCGCTTCAAACCTTGAGGCTTCACTTTCAATCAGGCCTGATCCTCCGACGCCTGACATTTGGACTAACAATGGCCAGCACTGCTGTGAGTAAAAACAGGAGCCACGGGAGGGGCCGGCCCCTAACCGTGTGGCCCACCCTGACCCGTCGCCACCGAGAGCGAGGGCATGTCAGCGCAATGACATTATGTTAGATAAATGCCCAGCCGGCCACCAAAAGTGTATGGCTCTTTTATAAGAGAAGGCTGCCACATGGCCCAATTCGGACAACTCGCGAGTCTGAATATAACACTCGAGTGTGTGTCCGTGTGTCACCGACACATGCTCGATGCCCTTGAGCGCGGCGACAGACAGCTGCACAGTGGTGAAGTTCAGAGAGGGCCCCCGTGAGCATGACTCGTCCACAATGCGTGCTTATGAGACGCTTGCCCGTCGGCCCGAAAACTCCTTCGACGACTCCGTGGCACACATTGTGTGACGCGGAACTTTTACGGCCTGGTATTCATTTGACGATAAATGATAGGAAAGTTCCATCAGGATGAGCTCAGCAAAGGCCTCCTCTATACATAAAGCGTAATGCACTTATCTCCTCATCTTTACGGCGTTGTTTCCACGAAGCGGTACAGTTCGCTCTGTGTTTAGAGTTCCCGGTGGCATTTTTTTTTTTTCCAAGGCAAAAATAACCGGAGCACCCATCTCCGTTAGGCAACGTACCACGAACACAACGATGTCTAATGTTAGATGACACTTTTCTGATGATGATAAACTACGAAGACGCTCTGCAAAGTCTCAAGTGTGGTTTTAAGTAAACATTGTTCAAATCAAGCACTAAAGGTGCCACAAAATAGACGGAACTCAAAGGCGAGGAGTTTTTTTTTTTTTGCATAACAACCAGCCTCAAGTAACAGGTGAGAACACAAGCTCTCATCTTTGTGCTTGGTAGAGGTTGCTCATCAGTGTGATTCATTATAAAACCAAAAGTGTCTTATAACGAGCTCAAATTCCCTGGTTACATCACACATTTTGAAAGATCACGCACATTCGAATGCAAAAAGCCTTCTTTAAAAACAAGCACAAAAAAAAAGCAACAAGTCCGCGAACGGTGTCAGCTGCCTCACTCCGGGTCAATAGGAAGTTCTATAGGTGCACGGTTTAAGGGGCAAAACTACAGGTGCTGACAATCGTGTACCACCGTATTTCAGCGTACGGCTCTGATTTTCGTAGACGGCGCACGTGGAACTGATTTGTATTCAGCCGAAAGGCTTGCTGCACCCGTTTGCCAATTTGGCAGACTGCTCCGAGTCATGCCGGGCGTTCTGGCGAAGTGGGGTTGCTTCCTTAAATTTGCGATTGGCGGAATGATCATTTAGTGTCAGAATGTCGGTCTCATGGAGCCAACGAGAAGAGCCACTTTGATTGGTGATGAATGACATCGGCCATGTTCACGCCCACAACAGCACAAACCACCCTTTTTGTAATCTTTAGTCCTTCCTGCGTCTGTGGAATTGACTAACACAATCTAACTTGCCTCCGCGTAAAATTTGACTTTCACCAGGCATGACAATAGAGCACATACACTTAATCCGTTCCAGGATGCTGGTTTGGATTTGAAAACATTCCCCCCCCCCACAGGAAATAATTGCAACAGAAATAATTAAATTAGCAGTGGTAGCCTTTGGCCCATCTGGCTCATAGTTCCGAGGCTTGGGGTTTGAATCTCGGCTCGACATTCCTGCGCGGAGTAAGGTTACGCATGTTAAATTAATTGTAAATTGTCCATAAGTGCTGCAGCACGCTTGCAATCCTAATGAGGGCAAGCATATAGAAAGAGAATTGAAATTCCAAATTGTAGCTCCTCAGGGCGGGTTCAACTACAAAGGTTTTCCGGCTCAAAGTATTTACTCAAATTGAATCACGACTCTGTATTAATATATAAATGTGTGTAATGGAACATATCGGAGAAACAGAAAGCCTTATATTCTGGATCCGGCAGGGCGTTATTTCGCTTTACCACAAATGCCACGGTGCTTTTGCGCATTTTGCCCTCCCTGTGTTATCAGCTCGACCTCAAGGGTTCAGTGATGTCACTTTGTCACGACACAGTACTGGCTCAGCTGTACTCGATTTAGTTCGTAGCTGTTGGTTTTCCACTTTAACCTTTTCAGGGACAGCGGTTACTACAGTGGACAGCTTATCATGTAATCAGGTTACAGGGTGCACGAAAGGGTTAAAGTGGTATAGTAGGGATACTTGGAAATGCTGAAAACATCAATTGAGGAGGACACGAACGAGACTCTGTACTTTTCCTGGCGTGTATGAAGCCGTTGGCCTCAGTAAGGAGACCCATTTTTTTTTTTTTTCTAATAAGAAATAGCAGAGTGGAGCGTGTGCAGTATGATACAGACGCATCCGGAGCATAAGTATCGGTGTTTTCATCATTTCTTCTCGCATCTCCTCCTCAAATCAAGCAACCCGTTTACATCACCCATATGGTATCATTTGGAAGCCTGGATGAGCAGCTACGAGAAATAAAGAGTGCCTGTCAGCTTCTCGATTTGCCACCGGCAAGAGCAATCTTGACCCACATTGTTGACTGGTTGACAGACAGGAGTCAAACAAAGCTTTTTTTTTTTTTTGCAATAAAAAAAACATTCCACTGTGTCACACCATAAGCGTAGTCGTGAGTGGAATAAAACTGTATCGTACCACTTGGTGGAAAAAAGTGGCTTATGTTGATGCCTGTAAAAGCGAACGCAAGCGTTTGTCAAAGTTGAGGTAAACAGAAAAGGAAACGCATTATAAAGTCTCCAAAGGCTGTTTGACAGCCTTTTGCCTTCCTGTGACTGTTAATCTCGCTGTGTGTGTGTGAGAGAGAGAGTAAGAGAGAGAGCGAGAGAGAGAGAGCTGTTGCTGCTGGCAGGAGTCATAACCCAAATGCCTTCAGGTCGGAGGGATTCACAACATGACACCGCACCCCCCCCCCGTCCCCCCCAGACGGCGTATTCCTGTGCTCGCCAAATGCTGTTATTACCATCTTGTTCGCTACCAACTTGAACAACCAGAAGAATCATCAACAAACACATCCGAAAAGCAATCTTGAACTGAACACCATTTCATTTGTATTTGCAAAAGGAGAGCAAGCTTTTTGTTGATTTCATTCCTTGGCAGCCATGTATGCTGCTCCGAGGAAGATATCCATACTGGGGGAATAACGTAATCCCGTCATGAGTTCTTATAATGGCAGAGTCAGACTGCATTCCATAGGTTAGATTATTATTATTATTATTTATTTATTTATTTTTTTTAAACACAGAAGGTAGGGCATACAGGGACTGGATCTCTTCTTCCCCCGAGGCAGTGTAATTATATCAGAAGATGTCTTTTTAAACATGTGCGCTCGCACACACACATAGTCCCGGGTCACATATATACGTTCTCAACCTGAGGCATTTCTCACCGAGGCCCATGTCAAGTGACCGATTTCTCTAAACTGCACCCTTGGGCAAGCGAATGACTGGAAGACGGCCTGTCAGGAAGCCATTGGTTCACTTCACAGTGCACAAACACACACGCGAGCAATCTGTGGGCCTACAGTCATGTGAGGAGGGGGTGGGGGGGAAATGGGTGATAAAAATCCTCATTTTCCTTCATTGCCGGGTCATTTGTCTCCGTCCCACAGAGGTGGGGGGGGATTGCCAGTCATGGAAATAGTGGGCGACAATGGAGCCGAGTCACGTCATGCCTTCATCCATCATTTCACTGTTAGTCTCACCGGATGCTTTATTGTTTCTTCCACTTGCCCCTTTTGGAGTTCACTCTTCAGAGTTTGCTCAGCTAACATTGACAGTTGCGTCACGCTTTTCTTTTTGGCAGTAGAAGACGTGAATACTTTTGCGAGAGCAAAACGGAGGGCACTTCCGGGCGGGGTTGTTAGGCAACTGCCGCACCTGACCGACGTGTATAAAGTGAGCGTGGAGAAGTTATTGATTTGGTGGAACTGGGACGGCTGCTTAAGATGCTGTTGGTGTTAACGACATCATTTTACCGCGCAGGTTGAATGATCCCGGTCTGAGCAGCGCCAAATTATTTAAATTTCCCGATTGAGAGTTTATCACCCATTTTCTATGCTGCTTGTTCTCATTTGGGTGACGAGTAAAATGCAACCTATTGCCGCTAACTTTGCCACAGACCTTGAGCCTCGCTCTTAACCACTGAACAGCAGGTCATCGTGTGGGCTAGCCTGGTAGGTTAGTTAGTGAGTACAATCAGGTGAAGTAATCAATATTTTGGTATGGATACACTCAAAGTGGCATTTTTTTTTAATGTAAACGTTTCGGCTCAATAACGGTTGGGAAACACTGCAGAGCTGTGAGATTAGCCAAGGCTTGAATCAAGAACATCTTTGGCCAATTAGTGCTCTCCATTTTACCACAATTGCTTTGACATTTGATCAATCAATTCCCACATGGCCTTCTGAACAAATGGATCTAAATCCTGAGGAGATTCGTCAAGAGCAGCAATACAAATGCTTCTACGCTGCCAAAGGAAGTGGACCTTTGCCTTGAAGAACAACTCATTTCTCAGGAGGATGAGGTTGGCTCTTGATGAGCAAACCGTAGCGGCAAATCTGTTCTTCCCTCACAACTGTCCATTAGCGCGCGGTGGTTTTGAATGGCACTCTTCGAAGGGCTCACACGAAGCCAGGGCAAAAGCTGTCAATTATTTTGCTCTCACACTCACGATAAGGTGAGCAGGTGATGGAGAGGGAGCTCCAGGTAAAATCCTCATCATCTCGCCTTCCTTCTTTTCACACACAGCCTGAGACACCTACACATTTATGAGCCGAGTAAAGCTCAAGCACCTTATACGTGTGTGTGTGTGGATGAGTCAGCAGCATTCAGCCCTCATGGGGACACGGGCTGCCTGTTAGCGCTCTGCTACCTGCCTGAATCGATGCGTCACCATCCCACCTGAATGCTGCAGACAGGATAAGAGCGGGAATGCAGAGACGGGTGCAATTGTCTCCTAGCACAAACTGATGACCATTTCTGTCCTTTTAAGCAACTTCACATCCAGGCAGTGTCTTAACAACGTCTGATCAGTCATGCATCTTGTCAGCGCGATATACAGTCGAATCGCAGGAAGACTGACACGCACGCTTCTATTTGGTGAGTGAAGGACAAGGGGGGATCGAAGGTCATCTGGGACACAAATTATCCGTAATCCAAGTGTTTATTCCATCAACACAGCCAAAAAAAAAAAAAAATCCTGTCACGTTGGCTTCCTTCTCGCAACAAAGGAAGTAGAAACAACTCTGTTCCAGGACAGCTGTGAAACAATCACATTTATTGGATAGCAGCTTTCTCAAATTGAGGAGGCAAAATAGACACATTATGAATCCTTAATGGTAAAGATGAACTTGTAGAAAGCAAATACCATCTTGTTTTGTTTGTTTTTGGTCCACCATTACACTGAGCCCTACAATCTTGTTACATTGGCTTCAATTTTGCAGCAAAGGAAGGAATCTCCATTCCAGGACAGCTGTGATACAACCAAACCAGCAGACTACTTAAATTGAAGAGTCAACATGGACGCAAGGAATGTTTTCATCAGAGCGAGGCCTTGCACGCACATCTGGTCTGTGCTATCCCTTGATGGATATGTCAAGGCAAAATATTTCATAAATCAACACTGTGAAAACAATATGCACTGAAAGAAACATCATCCCAAATACACATCTGCCTTGCGCTTTTCTTTCAGGGTGAAAGACAGAGTCCAGTTTCCACCCGCATTCCTAAATTGCACACGAATGTGAGCGGGAATCAGGCGAGTGCACCACTACGCTATCAGTGCCTATTAAGAGACACATTTGTAACTTTATGTTTAAGTTTTGACGCAGAGCATTTCGATTGGTTATGGCGTCATGCTACAGGCTAAACGCTAAATTCAAACTTATCGGGTTTGGTTTGATGAATAGGAACTTTGTTTTGTGGGTCCGCTTGCAAGTGATGACTGGTGAGGTTCTGTGCACTTGAGCGCAAATGCAAAATCTGCTGGGTCCGAAGAGCGTAAAATCTATGGAAGAAATCCTAAATATGTAAGCGTAATGATTAGCATGTGTTGGTAATGCTCTCATCACCTTCTGTGTGGGTATCTGACAGACAGGGCCGTGTGGAATGCCACTTTTCATGACAAATAGCAAAATGTAAAATAAACTTACAGTGTGTGGCACAGATGTGCTTTCTTTCTTTGACCTGATGAAAAAAAAGTGAAGGCGATAAATGAATACGGTTGCTAAGAATAGCAAAATCCACCAATCATGGCCCTCCCTAAAAACGATAGCCGATATGAATAGGACTAAAGCGTAAACTCACCACAAACTTGAGGCTCAGAACAAACAAGCATTCACATGTGATTTTGAAAAAAAAAAATCAATAAAAGTGCACTCACCTGGTGATGACTCACTGTTAACTTCCACTAACAACCCAGGCCAAATTTAGCTCCTCCTAGACAAAAACAGATCCACTTGAAAACTGTTTACACCAATTATTACTTTTCTATTAGTCGCAGCTTCAGTGCAATATCGTTGCATCTTAATAAAAAAAAAAATTTAAAAAAAAACATGAATGAATATATATGGCAGTACCGCTACTTTTCTATTAGTCGCGGCTTCAGTGCAATATTGTTGCATCTTAATAAAAAAAAAAAAAAAAAAAAAAAAACATGAATGAATATATATGGCAGTACCGAATTACAAATGGGAACACTTGTCACGGATATACAGTACTGCAACAATAAACGCCTGGTTGCGAGAAAACGGTGACAATTTGTGTCTCGTCTCCGAGATGCAAACAGGGAATGAAGACTTATCTCCTGAGGCCACAGGTCTCTCTGACGAGCTCGATTGCGACACCATAGCCACTAGTCGTTGACTAGAGGTCACGATGGCCTTGGGAATGTAAAAATAAAAAATGTTGTAATCATAAAAACTTAAGATCCAGTTTTCTAAAGCGCTTCTCATGATGGTCGCGGCTCAGCTGAAGCTTATTTGATTTCAAGATGGGGTCGGTGGGTTCACTTCAAATTTGGCTCGCATAATGTAGAGTCCAGGACACATGCTTGTTTCCGTGAAAAATGAACATTTTCTTTGTGGTGCAGCGTGGTGCCTGAGGACTGAGGCCAGTTCAGTTTATGGTTTCACGTGCTGATACAAGCTTTGACTGCCAGCGCCTCTGGTCCAATTAAGTTGTTTTTTTTTTTTTTTTGTGTGACAGAAACAATAACTCTTGACCATCTGACTTCTGATTGCTTATAATGAAGATATACACTGTTCGCTTTTGACAAAGAGGGGTTTATTTCTCCCTCCCAGTCATGTGAAGCAGATAGAATCCAAAGTAAAAAAAAAAAAAAAGTTGTGCAGCGCAAACAATAAACAGAAGCACGAATGTCTGCTATTGATATCGAGTCAAGCAATTTGTTACTCACTAGTTAATGAAAACAAAGTGCAGAGATACAAAAGTGCTGCAGGGCTGCCTTTAATACTGTGACGGTATACTTGGAGACGAAGACATTACAATTCCTCTGCTGTGTTGACAAGCACCAAAGGTTAAATATGGAGTGTGTGCGTGTGAGTGTGTCTTGGACAGGGGTGGTGGGGGACTCATGAATTATAATGTGAGCTGTCAGTGTGAGCTTGTCCTCAGGATGGTGAAGTGGCCAGTTCATGTTGGGACAAGTCATCTTGGTGCTTGATTATAACCCTGCTAAGATTCAAAACACACATGCAAGACAGTAAAGTGGGGCCCAACTATAACCCACCCGCACTGTAATGACAAAATACGTAACGCAAATAATCATCACGTGATCTGAACACCGTGTTGAGACGTAGAGAGGAGCCAAACGGCATGGAAGGTGGGGTTGACGATGATGGCAGAGGGGGGAGGTGAGAAATGGCGATATGGGTTGGGTTGGGGGCTTTAGCCCCTGCAAAAGCGGGGCTAAGTTGGCAACACCGCAGGCCAAGCTCTCAATCTTGCCCGCTGGCGGGGCAAGACGTGAAGGTCATGTCGCAGAGCATCAGATCAGCCGGGCCACTGGCTTGCACGGGGAGCATTAGCGAGCCTCTCAAAGAACGCCATCGCCAAAACGCATTTCAGGTTTGTCTTGCAGATCAGCCTGTAAATGTTGCGTCCGAGGTAGGGTTGGTTGGCCTTGAGATTCGAATCGCAAATCTCAGAGTGGAGGCGGTCATGCTCACCGCTAGCCATGGCGCTGCCCCCAAAGGTTTACAAACGGACTATATAAAAACTTCCTTTGAGGTTGTCTGCATGCTTCCAAGTGCAGTTAATACGTTTCTACTCTTCACATTGTTACTGCAAGCCTTAAATGCGAAACACAGTTGGATCTCTTTAAATTGGCGTCGAAAAATAACATCACAGGGCCTAAGGCCGCGGCTTGTGAACCTAAAATATCTGACCAAACCCGGAAAACAGGTGAGCCTTGACGGTCATTTCCTGAGCCTTTAGGCACTATGATGTCATTTTCAGTTGAGAGCAAGTGGCTAGATAAGGCAAAATGGCCGCCCCCTGAGATGGGTATAAATGGTGTGGATTTTTTTTTCTCTTTAATTCATATTCCAAAAGCCCAATATTAATCAGAACTAGTGGGTGCGCAGTAAATACATTATTGTAAAGACAAAAAGATGATATGACCTCCCCTTTAACAATAGATGAAGAATACTTGTATAGACCAAAAGTCATATAGAGTGGCCTGACGTGCCCAAAAACGTAAAGCATTTTTTTATCCACTCAAAGCTCACCAATCAGTATCCCAAAACTGAGGCTCCACTATAATACGCTTTCATCCCAGGTGGAATAACACACAGTCCTTGAACAGGTGTTGACAGTTCCTGCATGTAGAATAGTCACCGGAGTGGATCACATTGCACCTTCAGAAAGTTGCGTTGTTGACTCAGAGAACAAAGCGGTGTGGGCAGAAAACAATATTGACTCCACAACAAAACAAATAGATTCTTTCTGGTGCGTGAAGTTTCCTTGACACCTTAACTCTTAACATGGCGTAGAAGGAACATCTATGATTGGGTCTGGTGTGTGTGTGTGTGTGTGTGTGTGTGTGTGTGTGTGTGTGTGTGTGTGTGTGTGTGTGTGTGTGTGTGTGTGTGTGTGTTTCACTGTGAGTAGGACTAAAATCGTCTGGCCTCCTCTGAAACATTTCGATAAACAACCATTCTCCAAAATGGGTGCTTTACTCACAGTTCAATCTCCCTGCAGTGTGGGAGAGAAGACTCCCGAGGGAGCCGAGAATGAGTGAAGGCGTGCAGGCTGCAGGCCAAAATTCCCTCAGAACTATGAGACACTCAAGACCTGGTCACGCCGACCACTCGCCACCTTACCTGAGTGACACCATGCACCTTGTGTGTGTGTCGTGGAATCCACAGATTGGTTTCTTTATGATGCAGCAAAATGTACAAGTGAATGACTATAAACACTGCTCCAGCGTCATGTTTTTTGGATTTGCTTATGCCCATTTTTAAGCTTTTAAAGGTTTACAACTGCAGACTTTAGCCTTGTAACGACAACGCAAAACTGAACTAGCTAAAAGTTTCACGGAGAAGTCGAATAAACCAGTTTCCCAACCTTTATCGAGCCAAAGTAAATATTTTAATATTAGAAGTATCACACGGGGCACAACCAAACAAACATTACAAAGTATTTAATGATGATCTTTTCTCAATTTACTAAAAAAAAAAAGACAGTTTAACAGTGCTTTCTGTCATCTATCAGAACACTCTGCCTTGATTAACCCCGACGCAACGGTATGTGCGCAAGCCGCCTAAACCTGCATGCTCAATTAACAACGAGACAAATGAACGCAAGTGTGTAGTGATTGCCCAAAATCAAGCTATTGGACATCACGACGGGTTTGGTCATATAGTATCTTCAATGAAGAATATTTGTCATATCTCTTGTATTAGTGTGTTTAATATATAAAATGCAATAACGGAGAACCAAACCTTGTGGTACACCTCCATGACGCACCAGTGCTGATCTCTTTGAAGCTTCGTTTTCTGTCCTGGAAAGAAACAAACAAACAAAAAAAAAAAGTCAAAAAAAGTATGTTCATCTACCTCTGTTAATACAAATGTGTCACCCAAACGAAAACAGCTGTCTGATGTGTTCTCATAGTGGTCTGTCACATAGCGTCACACCCCTTCCAGGACCAACCATGTTCACACATTAGGGTGTATGACCTCCGCTAGATGACAATGTGAGATTGTGCCTCAGATCAAACAACATGTTTCCCTTGCAGCCCATGGCTAACACACAAACACACACACACACACACAACCAGATTTTGAAGCAATGCTCTCAAACACCCCATCACACCCGATGCTTCTGTGCAAAAAATTGTGTTGATAACATTGCTGGATGATGAAGATTCACAGACCTGCGGTGAATAGATACCGAAGCACGTCAACAGTCTCTCAGTCTCTTAATGCATGTTGTCATTGACTTTGCGATGCAAAACCGCCTTGAAAGGGAAATAAACTCAAACTCTTAAAATTGTTAGATGTCAAAAGTAAATACCGTCTTCACCGACCGCCATTTAGTTACATCTATTTAAGTAGTTATGGAAAAAAAAAATAGGGCGGGATGGTGTTTGACTGGCTAGCACGTCCGCCTCACAGTGCAGAAGTGTAGTGTTCGATTCCAGCTCCGGACTTCCTGTGTGGAGTTCGCATGTTCTCCTCATGTGCGCGTGGGTTTTCTCCGGGTACTCCGGTTTTCACTCACATTCCAAAAACATGCATGGCAGGTTAATGGAACTCTCTAAATCTTCCTTTGGTGGTGTGAGTGTGAGAGCGGATGGTTGTTGGTCCCTGTGTGCCTGGCAACCAGTTCAGGGTGTCCCCCACCTACTGGACAGCTGGGATAGGCTCCAGCATACCTGCAAACCTCGTGAAGATAAGTGGATTGGAAAATAGATGGATGGATCCAAAAAAATAGGTTCAAATCATCTGTCTTCACTCCCTTCTAGGGGGCCACCATTGCTAAGAACCACTAAGAAAACCAGAGAGTTCATAAATGTTCAACAAGGGCAAGCTATATATTCACTGTACGATTATTTATTTATTTTTGTGGGAAGGGGGGCGGGGGGGGGTTATGTTGTGTGTGCTGCAAAACGTATTAGTTCTGCGCAGTCTGCCTTGACATCATTTGATGTATTTTCTGTACAGCTTATCCTCATTAAGGGCGCGGTCGAACTGGAGTCTACACCAGCTGTGTATTCTGTACTGATCGCCAACCAATCACAGGGTTTTTTTTTTTCAATATTATTCCGAAAAACATGTGTGTACAAATGAAAAAAAATATGCTTCAAACACGAATGTGTCGAATGACCGCAGAATTCAATGACTGCATTCCATTGAATTTCATAGTAGGACCAAGGGCAACGATCAGAAGTCACTCCTTGGCAATCGGAAATTCAGCCGCTCTCGTCCACCTTCATAAATCACCCGGCTGCATCTGCACATGATTCACAAAGTGTTACATACATACGCCTTCGGAGGATGAGTCACCCAAGAATAATAGCACAAGGTAGTTTC